TATTACGATAAGAGATGTTCAGAAATTTCTGAAAGTTGAATGTCGTATATATATATATTACGATATTAGATGTTCAGAAATTTCTCCTTTTTATAGTACGGATATAATTGTTTAGAAATTTTCTGAAAATATGTATTCCCACCCCATTCAGACCTCGAGTACTGTACATACAAACTATTTAGTATTCATCCAAGTCCAAATGGACCCAGTACCTGCTAGAATTCATTGCAAATATTCCGCCGCTTATTCCACCAATATGTATTTCGACCAACGACCCATTGAGGACTTTCCAAGCGCGCTTCGCTAACACACAACACATCTATTTTTCCGACTTTGCGTTGGGATAAGACATTGTAAGCCTTTTTTATCTTTTTACGTTTTTTATTTGTTTTCGTTCATTATTTCGTCAATTCTGGATCTTATCACTGTTGGTAAATTGAGTGGCAATGGCACACTTAAAGATACTGCTTCGCTAAAGTACGGAATAATGAAGCTTTTCGGATGCTTTCAGCGTGGTCCAGAATATCCTGATTGTTAAAAATATTCAATTCCGCTTGACTTATGGTTTGAATCTAAAACAAGAAGAAATATTAGAACTAAGTACTCTATTGTAATCTTAATGTAACTGACATCCCCCCCCCTTCCCATACCCTGCACTACCCCATGCACAGTGTTTTGAATACCAATTTTCATATTTACTTACCGCTAGGAATTTTTTCTCCTGTTGTCCTTGCTGGAAATGAGTGTCTTTACGAGTCAAGGAAGACTATGACCAACGTTTTTTAGTACTACGGTATCAATTTACGAATTTACCCAGACAAATGCATGAACACTGACAAAATGCTTCGTTTGCTCACTTGAAGCAATGTTTCAGAGCTTAACAACTATTAACTATTTAACACCCTTCCGTCTAACCATCGGTGATTTCACCTTCCCTATACGTGAGCCGGGAGTCCACTAACAAACGAGCGGTTGTCTGAGGGGCAACTAATGGATGTTGAATCTATTTTTCTACGACATGAAACCATAACACGAGAGATCAAAACAACCTCCAAGACTCTACAAGCCTTTACTAACGCAGCTATTACCGGAAGTGACGTCTATTGATAGCAAACTATTTGTGTCGTCGCCCTCCCCCTATTTGCACTGCGTTGGTGACTGTGTGTTTTCGATTGTTTTCTGGTAAACTTTAATGCTAATATATTTTACTTTGTAATATAAGGATACTTATAAGGTATTCTAACATCGTGACATCCCAGAACAGCATGTAATATTGATCCATTGCATCTTCACTGTATCAAAACAGACAGACAGTAAATAAAACATATATCAAGGTGCTATCAAATTCATTAATACTTAATTAATAATAAAAATAACATTGGAAAAGATGGAAAATTATCATTAATCGTAAACAACCAGATCTGTTTAATCTGCCGAAGCAGATAAATATTTAACAATGTCCGTATGTTTTCTATCTCCATTTACATAGTGAGGACAATGCATAATAATAGTGCTCATGCTGGATTCAAGTTATCACTTTTTTTGCGTGCGCATTTTTGGCCTTTGTATTCAGCCTTTCATATGGAAATAATTTATATTAAGTTCAGTTCAAGGTTACCATCTTTCTTACTAGCTACACATCGTTTTGTTAAAGTGCCTATCACCCTTCTGACAATATTCTCAGTATTGATTCTACATGGGGTAAGAAGTTGAATAACCCGAAAAAATTACATAGTTTGAGTGCGGCTTCTTGAAGTTATGAAGGTTTTTTCATGTCATATGCTAATGCTGTGACAAACAAAAACAAACAAACAAACAAACAAACAAAAAATAGGTGCTAACAGTCGTTCAGTCTCGCATCTTTTTCATTCAAGTATGTTTGGGCGACTCCCCATAAAAAAATTAAATGCTGCAGCAATATTTTCATCTTCACTGTTAGCTATTAATACATTTAGCTTTAAGTCCATGCCGCATTTCAAATTAAACATGCTTGTTTCATGACACGGATCTAAGCCTTTTCAAATGTCTGTATAGTAGAATTGCGAGAATTGACTGTAACAAGATGTATGTATATATGTGGATAAATACTGTGGAAAATACAAACCCGGCTGCAGTTGCGGCTAACTGTATGGCTTTGAAGGCAGTTGCATAATCCTTTGGGTCCATACACTGACACAATAGGGCAGCCTAGTAATAATAATACAATTAAAAAATTAGTCATCAGCGATGATGATGATGATGGAAATAATGATCATATCATTGCCGGCTATTAGGTGTTTAACTACTATCCAAATAAACATGTGCTGTCAAGCCAGACTTCTATTGGTCATTTTTCATCAACCCTGGGTTCCAGAGGCTCTCTCTCCAGAATGTCTCCTTCGTGTGCCCTACGATCTCAAGCCCAGTCTTACGGCTTTTTGGTTAGCGGCCTGCCATCACTGGTAAAGTAACGTGATGGAGGTTTATAACAAAACCTAAAACCTACAACTGAAAAGCACTGGAGCAAGATGGCCCCTTCTAGTGTCCAGGGCAATACGATGGAGCTGATTATTGTTGCACACGACACAGAAAATGACGTCAGCTTTAATCTAGCATTTGCTGTAATGACATTATACAACGTGGGTGTTCCGGTATTACTCGGGTAAAGGAGAGATTTGGAATGGGTCGCGGTAAAAAGCTGAAACGGAAACAGCTGAAAAAGCTGAAAAGCGCAGAAAAGCGCAGAACTTCTTATTATCATAGATAATAATCAGTAGACAAATATTATGAAAGATGATATAATATAAATGATGTCAAACTAAAAACTAAAAACTAAAATTGCAGAGATACAAGCCAATGGACCGACCAGTAAGGTCAATGTCACGCATTCTCTTTACCGAAAAATAAAATGTCTACATAGTATTAGAACATAAATAAAATTAAATAAAGTCCATGCACAGAGATTTCTTGTTAAGCCTTCTATCGTGCTGCTCAGATTTTGATCCTGGCAAGAATTAAGAGCTTCATTGCTGGACCGTTCGGTGAATGGTCAGCTTTGAAAATATTTTTTTGACACTGAACAGCCACTAAGAAGTCCAACTTCATATTGTGACGTTGATCAAGTTACTTTTTCTGGAAGACCAAGCACCTTTTCTTAGCAACGGACTGCTCATTGGTCAACATAACGTCGCTCGTCTACTGCGAAGACAGTTGTCAAGYGCTTCTCGGACTGAGCTAGATTTATTGCTGTTGTTGTTGTTGTTTTTTGGCTTTCCTCGGCATAGTTTATAAAGGAAAAAAAATCAAAGCTCTTGCAGCTCTTTCATGATAACAAGAGTGATGAAAGTAATTCAAGTACAGAAATAGGTTGAATTTATGACATTTCTACACTTTTCAGCTCTTTCAGCTTTCCGCTGTTTCCGTTTCAGCTTTTTACCGCGACCCGATATGGAATGGAGGATTTATTGTGGAACTCCTCTCTGTTACGACCACCACGAACATCAGCATTGCACCTGGGCATTACGATGATGACAAGTCCCTGTGATGTATGCATCCAAGTGGGTCTGGGGACGTTATACCCATGTTTCCTCAATGTCTTCTGATATACATTATGGCTATTTAGACGCGATTGACGGAAAATAAGGCGTCTGACATAGTGTCATATGATCGGTACAAAATTTGTGTTCCTGTCTTTTTCTTAATTAAATAATATGCGTTTTCTTTGACTGAGAACACTGACTGTTACCAACTGCTGTTAGTTAAGTTACGCCTTCAGTAACACGCGAGCATGTTCGTAGGAAACGGCACTCGCGTCTACGCGAATTCTTACCTGCCAATATTGAAATGAACAAAATTGATTGACTGCGAGCTCACCTGTATGTATGCCTTCAGCTCCATACAGCATTCAACCATCTTCTTGAATATCTAATAAATAACGATTAATAACTATTTTAATAAGCAGTACACATCAGCAAATGGCTGATATGCGTAATTCATATACAAAATACTAATTAAATAGTAATGACAATAAAGATGTAGTTGTCACAATTTAAGCATTGTTATTTACTGAAGGCAACAATTAACTAAAACCTCTGGCCTGATTCAAGTCAGGTTACGGCAAATTCACTTCTTGAATTCCAATTCAGTGTAATAGCTTTTATGGAGATGGCAAAACAGAAGGAAATCCCTTGATTCAGTCGAGAGACCTAACACACTCTACTCACATGTTATTCAGACACCGCGAACCAAGTCTAACACCCCAGAGGTGAGAGGCAAGTGTACTACCTCTACAACACTCTACACACTTGTGTGTCTAACACACTCTACTCACATGTTATGCGTGCACAGACCGGGAACCAAGTCCAACACCCCAGAGGTGAGTGGCAAGTGTACTACCTCTACAACACTCTACACACTTGTGTGTCTAACACACTCTACTCACATGTTATGCGTGCACAGGCCGGGAACCAAGTCCAACACCCCAGAGGTGAAAGGCAAGTGCAAGTGTACTACCGCTACAACACTACACACGTCTGTCTACACATTTCTGTGTTTCTTTTTGAGGATCGCAGCTTTGCCATTACGAAATAACGAAATTACGATATAAATTGCCAATGTTGTGTTATTTAAATGCACCACTGCTTTATCAAACTGATGTAGTGCTAACTAAATAAACTTACTGACCTGAGTGTCCCAGACGGTCACTGGGATGGACGAATAAAACAGACACGATGAACATGCTCCAGCCTCAATGTAACATTTGAGGGCCGAGGAATAATTTTTGGAATCTGTAAAGAAAACATTAATAATAGGTTATATTTCTATAACATGACTGCAGGTAGGTAGTCTTCAGTCCATGTTGGACTTCCTTTTTTGAGGTTGTTTAATGTTGTTAAATCGTTTACTGAAATCTTTGTACTTTATTGATGAAATATAAAACACACGTGCATGTCAATGTACTGTCATCTAAACACTCTGGGAGCTGTAGAGCATAATCAAGCCTAAAGACACGAGGCGTAGCCCGGGGGGTACTCCCCTATATTTGCTATACGGGTATGTGCCGCCCTATAGGGTATGGTTTTTCAGCTTTTGGGTCTGGGGTAGGGTATCATTTTTTGACATTTAGTCTGGGATAGGGTATCATTTTAGTCTGGGATAGGGTTAGCGATTTGGCCATTTTTGTCTGACGAATAGGCTACGCTTTCTGCCGGCACAAAAACAATAACGTTAGTAAATATTTATTGCAATCTATTGAAAAACCGTCTTTTCCGTCTTTTAGTCTGGGATAGGGTGTACAATTCTTAGTTTTAGTCTGGGGTAGGGTACGTAAAATCAAAATTTTAGGTCTGGAATAGGGTCAGGGTTTTGAGGTCCTGGCGGCACACCCACCCCTACCCAAGTTGGGGTGGTAGTACCCCCCCCCCCCTCCGGGAGGCGTAGCCGAGTTTATCTCTTGCTTTTCCATGTTCTGCAGCTCCCTAACCGTTTCTACCGCAGTACGGCATCAGCAGCCGTGTTACATTGCTTTTATCACAAATTTTTGAAAGATTTTTCGCGACACAAATATCTAGCTATCAAGTGACCGATTTTGGTCATCCAATATGGCACCTCCTATCAATCATTCATTCCATTTCTTAATTAATTCTAGGGTGTCCGAGCAGGATGTAGAGTAGCAAGGGTGTGCAACTACCTTACATATAACAGGAACTTACCAAGATATATATCACCCAATGTTTGTAGCCACACGGCATTGTATGGGTAGGCTATAACAGCATGTTTGGTAGTGTGCAGCATGGCATGGTCTATTTGCTCAAAATTCACGGTACTTCGGCTAAAGCAAAAGTTACAATTACTTTATAAATACGTATTAAAATGGCTATTAAAATTATCGTTGAAGTGCGACACGCCAGGTTTGATTTTCACCAACTATGCCATGACAAAAACCGTCAATCAAAGAAGCGCAATAATAACAATATCTCGGAAATTGTTTAGATGGAATTAAATATTTTAGAGGAATAGACGATTTAAATCTTCATTTCAGTCGACAATCTTCCTCAAGACATTTTTTTGCTGTTTCTTCTTTGATTCATTGAAGGTAGTTGAAATGGTAATCGGCTACCGAAACATCAATTCCAAATATAGCACATAGCAACCAACTTGAATAACTATTGTTCTGCAGTGACTAGCCTCTGTACCCTAATGCTTGTCAGATCGCTTTTGTTTCCAGGTGAGCACAAGGCTAGTAAGTGATATAGTTATTCATATTGGTCGCCATATAGTTTTCAATCAGTGTATATAAGGGAATGACACGTGGTCTGAAATGGGAAAATATTGCGGCCATTGAAGGTGGAAGTTAGTCAGCCTTGAACACTTTTGATTGACTTACTTTGTGACAGACGTTGGCCAAAGGTAACCATGTGAGCTGAAGATTTCTCTGGCATTCTCTTGCCCCTCCTGTAATAGTAACRCCAATTTTACCTTTTTCSTTTTGGGTTTCAGAACMAAAATCAGGTACGGTTATTTTTTCGCTTCCTTGACTACGTTTAAGAATTAGTAATTTTTGATTTATGCATGAAGAACAACAAACACAAACACTTAACATATGAACACAAAGTACAAAAAACACCAAAAAAATAAAATAAAATAAAGAAAAACAATAACAAACAAACTTCAACACCAAAACCAACAAATAACAACAGATGTTATGGTGGTCGCAGAAAAATAAAAAAGCGATCTAAGGCTAAGGGAGCATTTATTTCTTAGGAGGGGGAGGGAGAAGGAGGAATTGATTTGGGGGGGGGGGTGCATCAAATATTTACAAGTGAAATAGGGGGTCACGGATTTTTTTCTGGTAACAACTGATGCTTGCCTTTGATAAATTGTGCAGCCTTACGAGACATGATACAACAACTGCTAAACAAGTCTCTTCCTGAAAAAGAAGAAAATGCTACATTTAAAATACAGTTTTAAAATCTTCAATTTCTTTGGATACCCTTAAAACCTCTGGCTTAACTCACAGACAGATTTGGAATTAAGGTTTTGTTACCATTATTAAAAGGGTTTCAATAAAAAATCATTTCGTCAAATCCACATTTTTTATTGTTATTTCTACTGATAATAAATGCAAGTCACTCTACTGTTCAAGATATTATGACAATCATAGCATGATACAAAGGCTGTTCCAAATAACATGTTTGACAATTTTATTGAACCGAAAATAGATCTATCAACATTTTTGTAATAATTAATTGTTGAATTAGGTAGGATACATGTAGTCGCATGTGGTATTCCATTATATTATTTTACTCATGATCACTCTCATAATTTTGATTGGGTGAAAACATAGATTCTTCTAAATAGCTCATGATGTCGAAAAGATTAATCTATTATGCAAAAAGAAAAAAAAAATTGCAGGTAATATATTCATCCTGTCAGGTTCACTCAAGGACAGACAGACAGACAGACTTACCTGGATGTGGTCAACAAAATCTAGAAAGCTTGATCTGAAGGTATCAAAAAATTAATAGGCAAAATTAACAACTGATAAGTAACACAAAAATATGTGTGTAGTGATAGATATCTACATTATTTGTAGCCCRGAAAAAAACCCCTCTGTGCTGATCTAAGTCTTGGCATTGCTATCTCACAGATCATGTTCGTGTTTTTGGAGTGGAGTGCAGGAGCTTACACAAATTATACTTCTGTGGACTAGGATACTAAAATTTATATAAAAGTTAATTGATAATGCATCATCTTTTTTTTTCACAATAAAACGAATGTGTCATACAGGCAAAAAGCATGCATATGCAGACTGGGAGTTATTCAATACTTACACACTCATACTGCTAGCCTCTCTCCTTATTGGGATTGTAGGTCTGCCATCTTGGGGTCTCTTGTGTTGTACAGTTGAGCTGAATATTCTGAGCACTAAGAGAGATCAGAACTGTCATTGTTGAATAGCATGATTTGTGTGTAGTGCTATCCCTCTTCAAACCATGTGTGATTTCTTTTGAGAATAAGATTCTTTGTAAAGGGAATGGGAAGTATTGAAAAGTGGGTAAATATCCATGTATCTTTTCTCAAAATACACGTAAAGAAAGAAATGATATTCTAAGGAATGACGCATGGTCTGGAGTGCGAAAACATTAGGTACAGGCCTAAATGATGCATTATCCTAAAGATAATAACAGAATGCAATCAAGTATGATTGAATGTCATTATTCTAACTGAAGCTCAATATTATTTTTTTCTACTTATTTTTTTTTCTTCCTTTCTCTATTTTATTAAAATCGTAAATAAATAATTGTCTGGATGTATGGTGTTGTTATTTAAGTTTATTTTTTAAAATAAAAATTGAATAACATAAAAAATAAAAATAAATAAAAGAAGGCCCAAGCTAAAAAGGTTTATTTATTGGGGTGCAACCACATGACTGAATATCTTGTGTAATGAGATCTTGATATATCAAATAACAATGAAACAGCCACCAGGTTGGTTGATCTAACTAGAGAATATAATGAGAGATGCTTCGTTATCATTAACCAAGATGGCAGCTATGACATAACATGGACTCTAACAATAACATCATTATCTTCTGATTCGCGAAGGCAATAAGTCTTTTGAAAACATTGGAGTAAGAATAAGACTTTGATGAGAAAAGAGAATTTGAAGCATGGGTAAAGTATCTTGTGTGGGTGCTACTGCACCACATGAGTCAATCCCTTGACATATAAGTAACAGTGAAATGGTCTCCATGTTCATAACAAGACATTCAAGCTAATGAGAAATGCTTTGTTATCTTCAGCCAACATGGAGCTATGATGTAACATGCACCTCAAKAATAGAATGTCAATCAAACATTATTACTGATCATAGTTTTCTTTTCTTTTTTATATATTAATATGTCTATTTTATTGTAAAGCTTGATATTGTATGTGATGCTTAATAAATTATTAATATTTTTATCATTATCATTATTATTTTTAACAAACCTCCATCCCATAGTAGGCGTATGTACTTGCGCCACTGCTGAGGCTTCATAACAGACAGACAAGCGGCTGCCAGCAAAGAACCAAGCTGGAAAACAAAACAAAACAATAACATCAATCATCAATAATTATATCCCTTATTACTAACGAAGAGTGACTGCCGTTTACAGAAAGAATAGAAAAACATTTGATGGTTGGAACATATGTGCCAAATACACAAATGTTTTGACATTCCTATGTTTAGCATTTCATTTGACTATTTTTCTTGATTTTCTCTGTATTTCCAGTAAATGCATGTACTAAACTTTTATTTATTGCAAGTCAACTTCACCTGYCATGTGTGCCACAAATGATCTGGCTCTAATTTGTGTGCCATGCATGGATGACTACATAAGACTAGATACTGATTACATTCTGATTGAATTAGCACATTCTTTTGGCAAATATTTCTTTTGTTATTAGCTTGTTGCCTTAAAACCAGCTTGTCCAAYGGATCTCATTACTGATCCTGGCTTTATGTATGCAAACAACTGATAGTAACACTTCATGTCATATCATAAACCCAATGTGAAGCCATGTTGATTTGATGGTAAACCTTATGTCAAAATTCAGCTTTCTATTACTAACTGTCCAACTAGTTTGTTAATACTAAATATAATGGACCTTKTGTCTTCAGGAGCTCAGGTTAAGTGAGTATGCCTGATGGGATTTTAATCCATAGCCAATATGGACTGTCAACAGTTCCTGTATTTTCTTGCTCTCTGTTACGTTTGGTGTTTGCTTTGTCAATTTTGCTGAGTGAGAAGTAGTAGATAGTCTATTATTCATGGGGGATGGTTGGGGGTTTAATGGGTTCCATCAAACAGTAATCAAATGAAAATACAGGGAGTGCTTGCAGTCCAATATAGGTAGAGGTAAGATAAAGTCAGAWGAGAGGCAAAACCTCTCTTCTACTCTCCCTGGATGGAATGCAGRAAGGTTTTCACATACAGTTCTATAATCTATAGTAGTGGATTCTTCTGTGTCCATCTTGAGGTCTGACAGGAAGGTCAGTTCTTTGCTGTTCAATAGATATACCACTGCAACTCTTTCCACGTGAGGTAAGATATCTAGTTCTATGGATAGAAACATTTTCAGTCTTGATTTACTCCTCTAAATATCTTCTTCCCTCCCTCCCTCATTCCTTCCTTTGTTTTTCCTTTGTTTTTCCTTTCTTTCTTTCTTTCTTTTTTCTTTCTTTCTACCTTTCTTCCTTCCAACTTAAATCAGGGTTTCATTACTTCACAATCTTATTTATTCACTCTCATTTTTTTCTTCAATCCTCCCTTTTTTCTCTCCTCATTTTGTTGGACTTTCAGCTGGGAGCTTGTGGTTTGAGTCCTAGATGGACCTAAATGTATTACTAAATAAACCCCATCAGTGACCCCCTCAGTACCTGCACCTCATACTAACAACCTCTCATTATCAGAAGTGCCTTTGACCATATGCACATGGAAAAGGCTCTTTATAACCCATAAATCATTATCAAATGAATATGTATGACAGGGACTTACAATTACTGGTTTGATGAATGTATGACTTGACTTGATTAACCAAGTCTTCTTTTCTAAGAAATGAAATTATAGTGCATTGAACAAATATATGTCAAGATTCTTAAAGTCACTATTATATTGAATCTGAGRATCTGTAACATTTTACTCACTTGCTTTTGTTTTTCTTTAAGTYGATAACTAGAAGCTCTTGGTTGATCGCCATTTTAACCCTTTCAATGGCTGACACTGGTCCGGTATTGGTTGCGCCTAACCTTCCAATGGCATATTGCAATAGGGCCATAGATACTTCATATGCCTAGAAAAATATTTTGTTGTTCGTTTGTCAAATTCCTTGCAACAACAAGTGCAGGACCAATATCAGTGCAACTAATATAAGTCAGTCAATGTGTTGCCATGACATTAGTAAGGTAGCACAAAGTTTCCAAGTCACAAGATTATGGAATGTAATGGAAATGCCTCGCTAGTTGAGTTTTAACAGAACCCACTTTGACAAGATGAAAAATTGTGCAATTCTTCACTCATGACTATAAAGAGCTATAATCATGATATAACTGTATGAGCTAGTTCCTACTTAGGGGTTAGTGATACACCCAGAACACATGACTATTAAGGGTATAATGAGCTAGTTCCTACTA